AAAGACGAGAGAAAGAGAGAGAGAGAGAGAAAGAGAGAGAAAGAGAGATGAGAAAGAGAGTGAAAGAGAGAGAAAGAGAGAGAAAGAGAGAGAGAAGAGAGAGAAAGAAGAGAAGAGAAGAGAAGAAGAGAGAGTGAGAGGAATGAATAGAAGAGAGAGAGAATGAGAGTCATCAAGTAACAGAAATGAAATAAGAGAAAGAAAATTAGAAAAAACGAGGCAGCAGCACAAAAAAAAGGAACAAGCAAAATAGCGTCAAGCACAAACAAACAAACAAACAAACACATGCCAAACAAGCGGAGCAAAAATGCAAACAACAAAAAATTAACAAACTAATAATAACAAAACAAAGAGAAGAGAGCAAGCATAAGGGGGGAGGGGGGGGCGGAGGAGAGAGGAGGAGGAGGAGGAGGAAGGGAGGAGCGGGCGAGAGGAGGAGGAGGAAGGCAGAGAGCAGAGAGGAGGAGAGAGAGGAGAGGAGGAGAAGGAGGGAGGAAGGAAGAAGAAAAAGGAGAGGAAAGAAGAAGAGAAGGGAGGAAGAGAAAGAGGAAGGAAAAGGGAGAGGAAGAGAAGAGAAGGAGGAGAGAGAAGGTAGAAGCAGGAAGAAAAGGAGAGGAGGAAGGAATGGTAGAAGGCGAGGGAGGAGGAGGGAGGAAGAAAAGGAGAGGAGGAGGAGGATGAAGAGGAGGAGGAGAGAGGAAAAAAGAGGAGGAGGAGGAGGAGAGAAGGAAGAGGAAGGGCAAGAGGTGGAGGAGAGGAGGAGGAGGGAGGAAGGAGGAGGAGGAGGAAGACAAGGAGAGGAAGGAGGAGACAAGGAGGAGGAGGATAATGATGAGGAGGAAGGGCAAAAGGAGGAGAAGAGGGAAAGGAAGAGGAGGAGGAGGTAGAGAAGTGGGAGAGGAGAAGAGGAGGAAGGAGGAAAGGAGGAAGGAGAGGAGGAGGAGGAAGGGAGGATGGGGAGAGATGGTGAAGAGAAGGAAAAGGAGGAAGGGCAAGAAAGAAGGAGGTGCAGGAAAAGGAGGAGAAGGAGGTGGAGGAAGAGGAGGAAGGAGGAGGAGGAAAAGGAGGAAAGGTGGAGGAAGGAGGAGGAGAAGAAAGGAGGGGAGGAAGAGGAGAAGAAAGGAGGAGGAGGAATCGATGAAGAAAGAGAAAAGAGAAGAAGGAAAGGAAAGGAAGGTCGAAGGAAGGAGAGAGTGGGGGGAGGGGGGGGGGGGGGTAACCGCCACGAAGCAAATAAAAGCAGCAAATGGAAAAAATATATATATATATACATATATATAATTAATTTAAAAAAAAAAGTGAAATAAATAATGTAATAGGACATGTAGCAGCAAAAAAAAAAAAAATGCATATATAGAGAATGAAACTATTTCTTAAGCCTTAAAATTAAATCAGCATTTTAACAACATTTTCTTTGGCGGTAAGAAACAAAAACAGGATTGATTAACTTTACCTTGTGTGTGATTTTCAAATCTGCGCATATTCACTTAAAGAGATTTATCTTGGAGAAAAATATGTGTGTGCGTGTGCATGTGTGTGTCTTCAAGTGCATATGCATGTGTGTTGCTTTCACATATATATATATATATATATATATATATATATATATATATACTATATATATATATATATATCAAGAATGAAAACAGATATATACTCTGTTTGAAAATCACACAAACATTTTTACACGTTTCCTTAATTCTAAAACATACAACAAAACTGCAATTTAATAAACCATCTCCAATGAAGGTTGGGTAAAATGTGTTACATTTTCTATAACTTAACATTTAATACAAAACTGAAATGTAATAATCATTAGTGGAAAAACTGAAGAAATAATATTCTCCCTTTCTCTACCTCTGTGTGTGTGTGTGTGACATGTGTGTGTGTGTGTGTGTGTGTGTTGTGTGTGTGTGTGTGTGTGTGTGTGTGTGTGTGTGTGTGTGTGTGTGTGTGTGTGTGTGTGTGTGTGTGGTGTGTGTGTGTGTGTGTGTGTGTGTGTGTGTGTGTGTGTGTGTGTGGTGTGTGTGTGTGTGTGTGTGTGTGTGTGAGTGTGTGTGTGAGTGTGTGTGTGAGTGTGTGTGAGTGTGTGTGAGTGTGTGTGAGTGGTGTGAGTGTGTGTGTGAGTGTGTGAGTGTGTGTGAGTGTGTGGTGAGTGTGTCGTGAGTGTGTGTGAGTGTGTGTGAGTGTGTGTGAGTGTGTGTGAGTGTGTGTAGAGTGTGTGTGAGGTGTGTGTGAGTGTGTGTGAGTGTGGTGTGAGTGGTGTGTGTGTGTGAGAGTGTGTGTGTGTGTGTGTGTGGCTGTGTGTGTGACTGACCTTTAACTAACTACTTAACTAATTAATCAATTTACAGTCTGTCTTTCCCAGTCTGTACATCTCTGTTAGTTTCTGTCTCTCTCTGTCTCTGTCTCTGTCTCTGTCTCTGTCTCTGTCTCTGTCTCTGTCTCTGTCTCTGTCTCTCTCTCTCTCCTGATGTTTCCTTGTCTATGTCTCTCTGCGTCTCTTTTCATCTGCCTATCTTTCTTTCTATCTCTCTTACTTTGTGTTTGTTGCTCTCTCCGTGTGTCTGTCTGTCACTCAATTTCTCTTTCCTTCTGTCTGTCTCAATAGCTCCTTCCGTCCGTCAGCCTTCGACCTCTCCCCCACCGAACATTAATGGGGACGGTTATTTGGAACACTTACCCTGCGCCCTGAGGGATGCAATGACGCTCTCCTTCCGGTTCAACTGTTCGCCGAGTCGAGAGGCGGCGTCCAGTCCGTTCTGTGCTTCTTGGAGTTGCATCTGCGGAAAGAAACATCACCTTTAGGGTTAGGGAACGTCAGCCGATGATGAAGAGTTGAGGCAAATTATGAATCAAACCAACAAATCTTCGATATCCTACGTTTAGGATTTTTTAGGATGACATTCCATAATTAGAGAAAGTTGAGGCGAACTGATTATAAAAATAGCTGATACATCTCTCGCAAGATTGTTAGGATTAGCCAGATTCGGCCAGTGATTGAAAGAAGTTGAGGGAACGGATAACTAACCAACTACATCTACAGATTTTAGGAGGCTTAAAATTTTTAAACGTTAAAGCAAACGGATAACGAAAAAAATAAGCTCATGGTTCTCTCTCTCTCTTCTCTCTCATTGCTCTACCCTGCTCCCTCCCTCTTTCTCATCTCGTCCCCTCTCCTCATGCTCTCCCCCATCCCTCACAACATTCCCCCTTCTCTCTTCCTCCCCGTACAGCTCCTTCCTCCTCACCCTCTCCCCCATTCCCCCCCCCTCTCCTCCCCATTTCTCGCTCACCATTCCCCTCTCCCGCCCCTCAAACCCTCACCCTTCCCCCGCTCTCCTCTCAATCCGCCTTACCCCACAGGCTACCCCGCGTGCTCCCTCACCCCGCAAATAAGCATAAGACGTGTCGCTGACCCTTTCCACCCACTCACCGTACCTTCCCCGCCGGCCCACCCCCCATCCCGCCCTCTACCCTCTCCCCCACCCTTCAGTCTTCACCCTTAACCCATCCCCCCTCTACCCGTGCTGTGTACCCCCTCGCCCTCTCCCCGCTCACCCTTCCACGATAACCCATTATCCCGTGCCCTCACCTTCAAGACTGCCCGTTTTCCTCTCCCAGTCGCGAGGGCCCCTCTCCTTTTATCCTCCTGCAAGCGCTCCACGCTTGCCTGTCCCGTCGCGTCGAGGATCTTCCCTCGACTGACGCCGCTGGAAGTCCTGCGCAGGACTGCCGGAAAAGTAATTGATTAAGCAACATTAAACATAACAAATA